GCGAGAAGAACTCACGCCGCTGCACCACCTCGCACACAACACAGGCCTTGAATTCCTTCCTCGCCGCAGTGCCCCGTTGTGCAGCCGCTGCGTCTACGCACTGGGTGCAAGCAAGCGACGCTTTGGAGGCGTGCCCCAGCATGTAGGCGGAAAACTCGGCCTTACTCTTCGACTCCCCACATTGAAAGCATAAGCCCGCTTTGCTGCTTCTGCGCGCGCCTTCTCCTCCTCTCTCTGCAACTTCGTACAAGATTTGCATGTGGGCTCGTCGTTCATCTGTTCCGCTTTGGCATATTCCACCGGTACCTTGTGCTCGCCGCAGCGCGAACACTTCAGGTGCTTCTTCAGCTCCTCGCAATCAAGGCACATTCCCCCCTTTGCACCGGGCGTTCCCTGCCTTGTCCCACTGATACGCCGCGAAAGCTTGCTCGTATTTGCGATCCTCGCACACATAACACTTTCGCCTTTCGGGACAGTCCACGCAGCGCCGTGGCGTCAGCTTCGCGCAGTGGTGTTGGGAGGAGGGGGAAGCACCCTGGCTCTTCCAGAGTCCGCGCTCCATGCGCTGCCACGGCGTTCCCGCGCTCTTCTTGTCTTCCAGGCACAGGTTACACGCGCGCAGGCCGTCATCCCGACTCCACTGGCTCAGGCCGAACTGGTTCTTGTACTTCGCTGAGGAGCAGAGTGCGCATCTCCCCGAGGGCATAAACTCCTTCTCGATGGCGCCCCAGCCCAGGGCGTCGCCACGCAACGATTGCAAGAGCAAGGCGGGCCCCTTCCGTTCACCCTGGGTGTACGGCGCGCGGTCACAGGCCCGGAAGATCAACATGTCCGCGCGCCGTCGCACGCGCGTCAGTGCCGTGTAGCTCGAGAGCGGCGACGCTCCCCCGCCGATGCTCAAATCCACGATCGCACCTTCCTTGAACGTTTGCCCCTGCGCCGCGTGGGCCGTGACGCCGAAAGCTGGCACCAGAGGGGGCTGCCGTCTTTTGACTATGAGTCGTGGATACGGGCGACTCTTGTCCACGAACCACTCCTTCTTCTGTGGCGTCACCGGGTGCAAGCGGGGCGCGCTCAATCCCTCGATCGTCCACGTGCGCGGCTTCCGACCGCCATCCCCGTCCTCGCCTTCGTCAAACAACGCGAAAGTTGCTTTCGGCGTCGTCTTCAATATGGTCTCTCCGCCGCGCGTGACCTGGTCATCTTCGCCGACCCCGTCGCGAATCCAAGAGTGCACTCGCCCCGCGCGGCCGCGCAGGAGGTTCTTGTCCTCGCTTCGATCCATGCGGTCGGTGAGGGCGACCGGCGTGCCTTCTGCGATCGGCAAAAAACCATGCAAATCCCCGCTCTCCTCGCCATGCCGCTGGAGCCACGCCAGCTTCTGGCGCGGCAAATCTGGCCGCTCACGCAGCGCCTCTGGCGTAGGAGTGTCCCGTGCCGGAACGTGCACCATCGGCTTTCTGTGCCCGCGCGCGTATTGCGACGCTCGAAGCTTGTTCGTCTCGCATTTGACGTCGTTGTTGGGAAACACACCCGGCGCGGCAAGGAACTTCTCCGACAACAATCGTGGGTCGTCAGGGCCATCCACCACGAGCCGTCGCCGCGCCCGCTCCTCTCTGCACACGTTGCACTCCTCCTGGCGGATCTCCTTCGGCGTCGCTGGACGTCTTCGTCGCTTCCCCGACCCCATCCGCGCTGCATCCCTCCCGACGTCGCACAGCTCCCGACAGGCCCGACTCCCGCAACAAACGTCCCCGTTCAGCCAGCTGCCAGGCACGGTTGTATCGCGACCATGCAAAAATGCGCGCGCGTCCGCTGACAGCGCCCCTCTACGGAACTCTTCTTGCACTTCCTTCAGCCAGGCGTCGTCGCACCCCTCGCACTCCTCCAACTCTGTCACGCCCTGAACCCCGCACTCGGCGCCGCCCCACAGGAGCGCTTGCCCGTGCAGCACGGGTGGCAGCGACGTGTACTTGCGGGCCGCCGAGATGCGCTCCGTTGGGATATCCGCAAGGAAGCCGCCGCCCGGGGGTGCCAGCTGCCAGAAGTCACCACTCAGCACGACGTTCAAACCGCCGAACGAGCGCGGCACGCCATCTTCGCTACGCTTCGTCGTCCCCACGTCACGGATGACCCCGCGCAGTTTCGCGTCTACTTCTGCCAGTAGTCTGGCGCTCACCATGCTGATCTCGTCGATGAACAACCACCTCCACTGCAGCACGCGTTTCGCCGTCTCGTACTGCAGCTTGACGTCCTCCCCCTTCTCTTCACCCCGTTTGATGGCCGGAATACCACGCGCATGGTGGATGGTATCGCCTCCCAGCAGCTGTGCAATGACGGCCTGCAGAGCCGTGATTTGGAAGTGCACACCGATTGTCCACTTCATCAACCCCTCGAACAATTCATGACGGATGATGCGCAACACGTGCGACTTGCCCGTCCCAAGGCCTCCGTGCATACACCACTGCAGCGGTTCACTCATGCCGGCATCTTGACTTGCCTCGCCGTCAATCTCGCGCATCACTCGGAGCGCTACTATCTTCACCATCTCGAACTGCTTTGCGTTCACTACGCGCCGCCCCGTCTGTTTGTCCACTCGGCGCGGGTATCTTGGATTCGCGCTTGACCCGCCTTCCCTGTTGCGCGGAGCGCGCTGGGGAGGGCGCCGAAAACGCCGCCAAGGGCCCGGGCGCATATCCAAGAAATTCGCGCTGAACGCGTACAACTTATGCTCATGTTTTTTTTCTGACTCGAGATTCTCGGCAAGCGGTCTTCGGGGGCGGCCGCCGTCGCCGTCGAGAAAGCACGGCGGGGTCTCGCTCCGGGCCTGCAGCGGCCGGGCCGCCCCAGGCGGCGCCGCCCCGCCCCCGTCAAGCGTGCGCGCGGCATCGCGCGCGGGGAGAGGTTTGCGCGAGGCACCTGGAGCCCGTGCGGCGGGCCGGCAAGGCAGTGGGGTGGCTTCGGATGAGGGCTAAGACGGAGCGAGGGTGAGGAGTAGATCGAGTGGGGCTGCGCCGAGAATCTCTGAGACCCGGCGGCTCTGGAGGATATCTCGGGCGCCGCGCCCTTCGCAAAGCGTTCCAGGACGCTCTGAGAGCGTCCCAGAGCGCTCTGGGATGGATTTGCCCTCGCCCCAGCCCTGCCCCAAGGGTGACCCCAGGAGGCATCCGACAGGAACGAATGAACGATCACCAGTGCAGCCTGCAGTCCGGGCCTGCTCGAAGCCAGATGATCGGGGCCGCAGCATCCGCGAGGGAGGAGACTCTGGCCTCCAAGCCCGCAGGTGGCCGAATCAGAACGCGCCCATATTGGCGGCGAGCCCGGCGGGCATGACAGCGGACAGGCCTTCTCAGCAGGCGGCGGGGTTTCTCAGAAGCCATCGCTGCTTCTGAGCAGTTCTCCGAGCCATCTCCGAAGACACAGGGGACTTTTCAGAAGACCAGAGGGCTTCTGAGAAGCAGAAGCCCCTCCGCTCTATAGAAGGCCTGCCGCCTTTCACTTCCCCCCCCAGGGCGCACCGCCGAATGCAAAAGGAAGGCGACTCTGGCACCCAACCCCGCAAATGGCCGATTCCGGAAACCTTGAACCCCCCAGTGATGCCAAGTCTTGCAGGTTCGGTGTTCGGTGGCACCTCGTGGGAACCTCCCAAGCCGTCTTGTCGGCTCTTGCGAATCGAAGCTCATCGCCGCTAAATCGATGCTAATCGACGCTACATCGACGCTAATCGACGGAAACCGACGCGGCGCTATCCCATCGACTCCCCAACGCTACTCTTTGCTAGTCGACGATAAAGATCGGCTCCCATGATTTGCTACCAGATCTTGCAGGCACATGTCTTACTTCCGCCGGCTATTCTGGCAAAGGAGGGTTCGGTGTCCCTTCAGGATGATAACACCGATGCTGATCATAATGGTGGCGATGCTGTTTATGGCACTTGTGATGCAGGAGTAGGCGGATGATGCAGATGATAACGATGATGATGACGATAACGATGACGACGATCACGACGACGACGATAATGATGACGATGGCGATGATGAGGATGATGCTGTTCATAATTCAGGTGACGATATTGGCGATGAGGACGACGATGGCGATGATGACGATGGTGATGACGATGTTGCTGCTGGTGGTGGTGATGGTGACGACTGTGATGATGGCGATAGTCATGGTGATGATGACGGTGCCGCTGACGATGGCGCCAGATATGATGATGATGAGGATGGCGATGATGACGATGAGGATTATCCTAGCTAGAACTTGAGCGCGCGCGACGCGCGCGCGATGGCTCCAGTACATATATATGTATATATACATATACAGCTACACATATGTATATATATGTATATATGTATATATATATGTGTGTGTAGGTACACACATATAGGTATGTGTGTTTGGCCTGCTGGGGTCCCCTGCCCAGCCTGAGATCGCAAGAAACAGTCCGAGACGAAACGTGGCTCCCAGGGCAGGGGTCCGCCAAGAAGCTGGAACGCGCGTGGCATGAATCACGTCCAGAGCACCTGGAGACGACGCCATGCATACGCCAAGACATAGAAAGGCCGAGCACGAACGACAAAAACTTCAAACCTCGACGTGAGAGCCACTCACAAAGGTCGTCGACGTCGACTGCCAGAAATCCTGGTGAGCCAACTTTGGGGTCGGCGGCAGAGGCGGCAGCCTTTAAGTATGAGGGAAACGGGCGATTAGACCAAAACGTCCGGTCTTCGCCCCTCCCCTGGACCCCTCCCTAGAAGGGCTTCGCCCCCTGCTCAACGTCACTCGCTCGTACCTCGCTCTTTCCGTCACCCCGTGGTGGGGCCGTGGAGGGGTGATTTCATGCACTTGAGTGCCCACCCTTCTGGCACGCGCTTCCGCCCGCCATGTGAGAGAGATGACGTCGGGCTCCACCTTCGCCTCCCACATGTCGCTCAACAGCGCCAAAGCCCGCTGCCACTGCCCGCCACTCTCGCACGCGCTGATTCCAGCGCTGTAGATGATTACTGTGAACCCGTGGAAAAATCCAAGGCCAGCAGGGCATAGCCAGCGTCAGGGGTGAAGCTCGCTTACCCCTCGCCGAGTGGGTGCCCCTAGAAGGTCAGGGTGGCTGGAGGAGGAAGGATGTGCAGGATGAGGGGGTCCTGGAGAAAATGCAGGGTGAAACAGAGGGAGAGGCGGAACGGAGGACGAGGACATGTCGGTGGAGGGTGGGGAAAGGTGGGCAAGGAGAGGGGACGCGAGCCGAGTAACGAGTAGGGAGGCTGGAGAATCAGTGGGGGACGCATGGTGCTGGCGCAGAGGCCTCGAAATGTCTGCAAGTCCCCCTCCGTCACCCCCCAAGAGCGGCTGGAGATTCCAGGGGCCGCTCCAAAGGCTTGATGGATCTGGGGAGTCCCCCCGTCGCCTCCTTGGAATCGTGGTGCTGCCTGGATGGCCTCTCGGGGGCAGGCTTGGGGCCTTGGGGGCCATGTTGGGGGGGAGGGCTCCCGGGGCCCTGTGAGCTTCCCCTTCTTGGGCCAGTCTCGGGGGGCACCCCGGCCGCTGTATCGGGGGCCTCTGGGGCCATACTGGGGCTCTTTTTGGGCTGCCTTGGGCCATCTTGGGCGCGCCTTGGCCCCGCCAGGGGCTCAGGCGAGCCTCTGAGGCTTTCTGGGCATCCTCTGGGGCTCTGTTCGGAGCGATATGGAGTGGAAGAGTGGGAAGTGGTGGAGGTGTATAAGGAACAACGGCATTTTGATAATTCCACCCTGGCGGCAGAAAACCCTGAACAGCGAAATTCAAACATCAAAGACATATTGCACTGCACTGTCCATAACGGAAGACCATGTGGAACAGCATGCGGGGAACCATACGGGAGGATACCCTACCGGAGATTATGCGGGAGCCACGTTGGCGCCACATCAGGCGGTCCGGGATCGTAAAGAGCCGCTGGCGAGCTCTCGGAGTCTCCTTCCTGGCACAGGTGGGTGGCTCGCGGGGCGTCTGGAGGGCTCCCGGCCAGCTTCAGCGGCCACTGGAGGGGGTCTGTGGCCATGCGCTGGTTCCACAAACCACCTTTCTCGAACGCGCTTCGGCCCTAATTGTAATACGAATGACGTCGGGCTCCACCTTCGCCTCCCTCACCTCGCTGAGCAGCGCCAACGCCCGCTGCCACTGCGCTTGCTTTTCGCACGCGCTGATCCCAGTGCTGTAGCTGATTAGTGTGTACCCGTGCTTGCTGCCACTGGCGGCGGGGGTTGCCGAACCCACTCTCCTGGGGCTCTCCTGGGGCTCTCTCTGGAGCCCACTTGGAGCATTTTGGGGCCTCTTGGGCCGTCGGGCGGCTGTCTTGGGCGTCTTCGAGCGCTCGGGTCCCATGTCGGAGGCCCTCTTGGACCGTCTTCGGCTGTCTTGGGCCCCTCTTGGGGCTCTCCGGGGGCCGTTCGGAGCGCTCTTAAGCCATCTTGGAAGCGCGCCGGGGCCCCCCCAGGACGCCGCCAGGCGCGGGCCCACCATTCTGTGGCAGAATGCGCCCGGCCCTGTCTTGGAGGGGCCCGAAGGCCACACGAGGGTCGCAAGAGCGCCCCCCGGGGGCACCCAGAGGGCCCCAAACCGCATGTACTTGATATGCTTCTCAGGCTTGCGAGAGGGGCACCCAAGTGCATGTGTTATGGGGCCTTGTCGGCGGCCTCTCGGGGCCCTCCTGCCCCCTCTTGGGCACCCTCGGGAGCGCTCCCACTCTGTCTTGACCCCCTCTTGGGGCCACCATGGGCGCCTGAGGAGCCGTCCTGGCGCAGTCTTCAGCCGTCTTGGGGCCCCCCTGGCAGCCTCGTGAGGCGTCTTGGGACGATCTTGAGGGCCTGTGTCGCCGTCTTCGACGCTTCGAAGACGAAAAGCACGGGAACTCCCAAAATGTATGTTTTCCCCAAGGATTGGGGCAACTTTTCCTTGTTCGGGCTCTCCTGGGGCTCCCTATGCAGCCCTCTTGGAACATTTTGAGGGCCTCTTGGGCCGTCGGGCGGCTGTCTTGGGCGTCTTCGAACGCTTGGGGCCCGTCTCGGAGGCCCTCTTGGACCGTCTTCTGCCGTCTTCGGGTCCTCTTGTTGGCCTCCAGGGCCGTTCGGAGCTCTCTTGAGCCTTCTTGGAAGCGCGCTGGGGCCCCCGGGCCGCGCCGGTGGCCGCCGGAGTGGGCCGGTCCGCTGCCACGCGGTGAACGCTGCATTATAGGAGAGATGATGTCGGGCTTTACCTTCGCCTCCCACATCTCGCTCATCAGAGCCAATGTCCGCTGCCACTGACCGCCCTTCTCGCACCCGCTGATCCCGGCGTTGTAGCTGACTAGTGTGTACCCGTGGTCAACTGACCACGATATTATCTGTCAGAGATGGCACGTTGGGCCAGGGCAGAGATGTTGCCGAAAGGCTTTCGTGATGACGTCGGGCCCGAACTTCGCCTGTGCTGTTGCTGCCTGCAGCTGCAGGGTGCTGCTGCCTGCGGCATGTCGTTGCTGCTGCTCACTTTCGCTGTTCTGCCGCTACTTGCTGCGGACTCCTGCTGTTCACTTACACTGCGTTGAGGCTGCAGAGTGCTGCTTCTTGACACCCTTGCTGGCTGACGCAACCTGCAACTCGTGAGTGGCTCGAGGAGCGATGAGCAATGAGCGAGGAGTCAGGGTCGAGGGAGAGGTGGGGGAAGCGAAGAGCGATCAGCGAGGAGCAAAGAGCGAAGGCCGAGGAGAGAGAGAGAGAGAGAGACATATATATATATATATATATATATACATATAGAGAGAGAGAAAGACATAAGCAGAGAGAGAGAGATGAGGGAGAACCGAAGAGAAAGGGAGAGACAGACGCCAGCAGCCAGGAGGGATAAGCGAGGGGCCAGAAGAGAAGTGGGAGGAGCGAGGACGAACGAGAAGAGAGGAGATAGGAGCGACGAGCGAGAAGCGAGGAGCGAGGCGCGCGGCGTCGAGCGAGGAGCGTGGCGCGTGGAGGGAGAGTGTCAAGGCATGAGCAGAGGCCAACACACGAATGTTCCAGGGGCCTCGGCGCGCGGGTAGCCGAACATCTGGTCTCCACTTTGGCCGCTCATGGGGCTCTCTTGGGTGGCCGGTGCGGCCCCAGAGCTCTCCAAGGGATCTTCCGCAGTAAGCCTCTGGGCGGCCCTGGAGGCCTCCAGGGCGGCTCGGAGTCTCGCCGGAACGGGCGCGGGGCGGCCCCGGCACTGCAGCAGAGCTGACGTTGGGCTCCACCTTCGCCTCCTGCATCTCGCCGAGCAAGGCCAAGGCCCGCTGCCACTGACCGCCGTTCCCGCAAGCGCTGATCCCAGCGGTGTAGCTGACTAGGGCTGACCCGTGGACTCCGTCCACGACATTCTTCTGGAATCATTCTCGGAGGAACGACAGAGATTTTGCCGAAAACGTACAAGCACTGCGGCGGCCGGGGCGGCGGCAGCGAGACCACGCCTTCGTGTCCGAGCTCTAGCAGCGCTCCACCAGCTTGGCCGCCGCGGGGCCGCCGTCGTCGTTGTCATCGTCGGCGTCGTTGTCGTCGCCGCCGCGAGGCCGCCGTCGTACCCGTCGTAGTCGGCGTCGTCGTCGTGATGGTGGTGGTCGTCATCATCGCCGTGGGTTGTCGGGCACCGGAAAGAAGCTGGCGACGTCGGTAGGACTGACCCGTGGACTCCGCCCACGAGATCTGCACGAACTGGCATCTGACTGTGAGGCCCGACCTCGCATTCCGTGCATGCTACTGCGTGCTGCTGCTTGCTACCGCTTTTGCGTACTGTTGGTAATGCTTGAGGCTGCTGCTTCGTGCTCTTGCTGCTTGTGGCTGCAGGTTGTTGCTGATGGCCAATTCCGCTTGGTGCGTGCTTCTACCCGCTGCCTGCCGCTGCTCGCTGCTGCTGTGTGCCGCCGCTGCTGCTGTCTGCTTCGTACCCACGGAAGAAATCGATGCCGGGGCGCTCGGAATGTCGCACGGTGGACTGCGCATGGGGGCTCACTGTGGACGCGCAGGGAGCCACGTACTTTTGGGCGCCGTCTCCGCGCCCCTCTGGGATCAGAGGGTGTTAGGGAATGCGCTCCCTGCAGGCCTCTACTGTAGCTCGCCTCACTTGGGCGGCAGCGGCGAAGCGCGCCCTGGAGCTGGGAGGCAATAGTAGGGGAAAGTAGCGCCCATGTTGCTGTTCATCATTCGGCGCTCTTTCGCTCGCGCCCGCACCCACGGAGGAGGGCAACGCTCCCTAAAGGCCCTAAGCGTCCACTGATGGCGGGCGCTTCCTTCCCCTTGGGAACCGTTTGGGTGCCTCTCGGGGTTTCTTTTCAGTTCCTTCTGGGGGCCTTTTGGGGCCCCCTGGGCCCACTGTCTTGCGGCCTCCTGGGGGCCTCTTGGGCCGTTTTGGGTGCCCCTTGGACCGTCTTGGGGCCGTCTGCGGCCGTCTTGGAAGCCTCTAAGGCCAGCTTGGGGCCGTTTTGGGGCCGTCTTGGGCCGCTCTTGGGGCTGCCCTGGGTGACTCTTGGGCCGTCGTGGGCGCCTCAAGAGCGGTCCTGGGGCCGTTTTGGGCCGTCCTGGGGCCGTCTTGGGGCCCTCATGGGGCGCTCCTGCGGCGACCTGGGGCGATCTTGGGGGCGTGAATTGTCCTCCCGGACGCTTTGAAAACGAAAAGCACGGGATTGCGAAAATGTACGCGGGCTCTCTCGGAATTCTTCTTGGAGCCCACTTGGAACGTTTTGGGGGCCTCTTGGGTCGTCTGGGGGCTATGCTGGGCGTCTGCGAGCGCGCTTGGACCGTCGCGGAAGCCCTCTTATACCATCTTGGGCTGCTCTTGGGGGTCCCGGGGTCGTCTCGGAACGCTCTTGGGCCTCTTGGAAGCGCGCCAGGGCCTGCTGGCGCTCGCAGGAGCCGGCAGGGGCCGCCGTGGCGCCTGAACCCCGCGCCCCGACCCCCGCCCCTCTCGCACGCGCGCACGCCTGCAATGTAGCAGGCATCCCTTCCTGGGTTCGTTGACCCGAGGATCCAGGCATTGCTGCGTATGTTGTGTTCGTCGGCGGCGAGGGGGCCGCAATCCGCGCCAACGTAACGTAGGTCCGTGAATATGGACCGAGAGTAAGACGGAGAGGAAGGGGTCGAGGGGAGGAACTAGGCTGGCATTGGAACTTCAAAACGCTCGGGTTTTTGCTCTGGGCGCGATTCGCGAAAACATTTCTTTAATATAGAAAAGTGACATCTGTGCTACAGTGCGAAATGTATGGTTTTCGACGCCGCCGCCGTCGTCGTCGTCGTCGTCGTCGCCGTGGTTGTCGCCCTCGATTTCGCCGTGAGAAGGCGACCCCCTCCTGGCGTTTCTTGTCGGGATCCGTTGACTGGAGGGTCCAGAGAAGGAGCCTTGCTCCGAATTTAGGGGAGGAGCTGGGCTCGCGTTGGAACGCCAAAACGCTAGGGTTGTTGCTAATCGCGCCCAGCCTGGGCGCGATTCGCGAAAACGCGTGTTTTTTATGACATCTGTGCTGCAGTGCGAAATGTATGGTTTTCGCCGCCGCCGCCGCCGTCGTCGTCGTCGTCGTCGTCGCCGTGGTCGTCGTCCTCGATTTCGCCGTGAGAAGGCGACCCCCTCCTGGCGTTTCTTCTTGGGATCCGTTGACTGAAGGGTCCAGAGAAGGAGCCTTGCTCCGAATTTAACGTGCGTCGGCGGCGAGGCGGACGCAATCCGGCACAACTCTAACTTAGGTCCGCGCGTACAGTCTGACGGAATGGGGGGGGCCGAGGGGAGGGGCTACGCCCCAGAGGCCCCGACTCGAACGTCGTGGTTTTCCCCAAAGCGCGGCGCCGAAACGCCTCGACAATATATCCAGAGTGCTGTTCGCATGACTGGAGCCGGCTCGTTCCTAATGGTCCCCTGGCTTTCTGCGAGCCCGTGAAGGCAGAACCTGCCAGGAGACTGCGCTCGCAATGTGTCTCAAGACGCGAAAAAGTCTGCGTGGCCATGGGCGGCAGGCGCGCGGTGCGACCCAGATCAACGCCGTCAAGTTTCGCATCCTGGAAGTGTGTGCCAGGGGCCTGGAGACCGAAGCCGCCCCGTGGAAACCGTAAACGACGACGCGCCAGAATGACCGGCCAGGCAGCCGTGAGCTCTCCCCCCCGCCGCCGGCTAGCCACGGAGTCCCACCCGCTCGAAGTTGCCCGCGAGGACCGCGCGGCGAACCGCGCCAGGGGGCTGGCCATCCTGAAGATCGCCATCGCCGTCGCCGCCGTCGTCGGTCTCGTCGTCGTCGTCGTCGTCGTCGTCGTCGCATCCGTCGCGGTCGTGGTTGTCGCCACCGTCGCGGTGGAATTTGCCGGCCTGCGGAAGCTGTTTCCGGCCCCAGGGTCCCTGACAAACGGACTCACGGCGCAACCTGTGCCGGGAAGAACCAACGGGTCGGGCCGAGAGGAGGAAGCAGGTCGTCTGCGTCGTCGTCTCCGGCGTCGTCGCGAGCGTCCTCGACGGCAAGCTTGCGCCGCGAGGTGGGCCACGATGCTCGCGGTGGCGAACGGCGAGACGTGCGCCAGATCACCGCGATTCCCGCCAGCCGGGAAGGTCCTGGTGTCTGTGGTGCCAGCTGGGCCGTCTCGGAGTCGTCTGGGGCCGTCTCGGGCGCGTGGGCGCCTCGGGAGCCTCCTCTTGGCTGTGCTGTCTGGCCTCGTGCGAGTCTGTTGGAGGACGCCTGGGCCGTCCTGAGTGCTCCTTGGGCCGTTTTGGGACCCTGTGGGCCAGGGTGGATTTTTAGTAGTTTGCCACCAAACGCTCTGTCGAGGCACTGTTTGACGGCAAGGATAATGATGATACGATTTATCTTTACCATTCCACATCAAGCCCCCTGGACTCCGCATTGGGGTCTTTGCCCCCTGAACACTGCGCAGAAGGCTCCAAAAGATGCGAGGTGAAGTATCCGTTCAAGTCTGCGCTCCCCTTGCGGCCCGCACGGGCCACTTGAGGCAAATGACTACGGAGGAAAAAAGAAAGCAGGAGAAAGGACGGAATGAAGGAAGCATCGCCAGCTGATGCTGCAAGTGCTCGTCAGGATTCCGGGAAAACTCTTCTATTACTGGGGTAATAGAAACTCCCCCTGTCCAGCGGATTCGACGAGTGCTGTGTGCTCACTCGCGTATCTCAGCGTGCTCTCAGGATGAAGGGAGGATCACGAACTCTTTCTCGTGCCAGCCAATCTCTTTCTCAAGCCAGTCCTGACTGCCGTCGGCAACAAGTACGTCCCACCTGCAACCTTTATCACAGTCATCCAACATCCACGAGGTATTTCTCTGAACCAGCGTTCCAACTCGTTCGCCACGGTACGGATATGGAGAGAAACCCAGAACACGATTTCCAGCAATGGGCTCTCGAAAGTGAAACGCATCTCGAAAGCGGGCCCATCCGTCTCCAGGGAGCGGGTGGAACTCGAAGAGAGGCTTGTGGTTTGGATCCACGGCAGGCGCAGCCACTGCAGCGCACCCGGCATCGAGGACAACCTCGCGCTGCTCGTCGTTCTCGGCGTCCGAACCGATCTCGAAGTAGATGGCGCCCCCTGGGCGCTGCGCAGTCAGTCGTTGCTGATTGTGCGTGTCTTCTCGGGCCCCTGCACTTCCCATCCCGCAGCCGTCAGTCTGGCTGGCAACAGCGGCGACGCCTTCGGGCTGGCCGAAAGCGTCTGGAGGAGTGGTTGTGCCCGCTACCACGGCTTGGCCGGGTGCGTTTGCCACCGCGGCTTGGCCGGGGGCAGCGTCGGCGGCGCTTGGCGCCTCGGTGGCGCTGGGCATCTTGAAGCAATCGTTGAGCGAGTTCTGCATCGTGCACGACCTCTCCTGCATCACCTTCAAGTTCTTGTTTGTGAGATCAATCATACTGTTGACCTCGTTCTTGAGATTCAGGATGGCTTTCATGAGCTCCTCCGCTTTTTCTTGCGAATGGGGCTCTTCGTGCACGACCTGACGAGCTGAGAAGCGTTCCTGCTTTTTCTCCAAACGTCGCTGCATGGCTGTCGGTGACCGTCTATGGTGCGCTCGTCGCCCATGTGTCGTCGCCGGTGTAGCCACTGCAGTGAAGTCCCTTAACTCAGAATATTCATAGAGCTGTTTCGGCTGATAACCAGTAGTTTGCCACCAAACGCTCTGTCGAGGCACTGTTTGACGGCAGGGATAATGATGTTACGATTTATCTTTACCATTCCACATCAAGCCCCCTGGACTCTGCATTGGGGTCTTTGCCCCCCTGAACACTGCACAGAAGGCTCCAAAATATGTGAAGTAAAGTACCCGTTCAAGTCTGCACTCCCCTTGCGGCCCGCACGGGCCAATTGAGGCAAATGACTACGGAGGATAGAAGAAAGCAGGAAAAAGGACGGAATGAGGAAAGCATCGCCAGCTGATGCTGCAAGTGCTCGTCAGGATTCCTGGAAAACTCTTTTATTACTTGGGTAAGACACATTTTTTTGAAGGGTCGTCGGAGTCGATGTGAGTGTCGGCCGTCTTCTGACCCTGTGGGGCCGTCTGTGGCTGTCTTGGGGCCGTCTTGGGCCGTTTTGGGCGGCTCTTCGGGCTGTCTTGGGTGCCTCTGGGCCGCCGTGAGGCCCTGTGGGGCTGTCTTGGGCCGTCTTGAGCCGTCCTGGGGCCATCTTGGGCGGTCTTGGGTGGTTCTTGGGCCTATCTTGGATGCCTCATGGGCCGTCTTGGGCGCCTGTTGGGCCGTCCGGGGGTCGTCTTGGGCCCCTTGGGGCCCTCACGGAAGCATGTTGGGGTGATCGTGGGAGCCCGCAGGGGTGTCTTGGACGCAGTCGCAACGAAAAGCACGAGAATGTCAAAAATACGCGTTTTCCCCAGGGACTGGGCCGTATTTGGCCTCTGGGACCTCTCACGGGGATCCTCCAGAGACGTCTTGAGCGCATGCTGGCCTGCCTTGGAGGCCTCTGGGGCTCCCGGGGTGGCCTCGGGAGCGCCTCCGAGCCGTCTTTGGGCCGTTCATGGGCCGTCTTGGGCGCCTGTTGGGCCGTCCGGGGGTCGTCTTGGGCCGTCTTGGGGGCCTCACGGAGGCATCTTGGAGTGATCGTGGGAGGCCGCAGGAGTGTCTTGGACGCAGTCGCAACGAAAAGCACGAGAATGTCAAAAATACGCGTTTTCCCAAGGGACTGGGCCGTATTTGGCCTCTGGGACCTCTCACGGAGGTCCTCCAGAGACGTCTTGAGCGCATGCTGGCCTGCCTTGGAGGCCTCTGGGGCTCCCGGGGTGGCCTCGGGAGCGCCTCCGAGCCTTCTCTGGGCCGTCGAGGTGGCCTCGGGAGCGTCTCAGAGCCGTCGTGGGGCCGCCAGGGCGCCGACTGCGCCAATCCAGCCAAGACCCGTCCCGCACGCGCGGTGCCCTGCATTGTAGTAGAGATGACGTCGGGCTCCAACCTCGCCTCCCGCATCTCGCTGAGCAGCGCCGAAGCCGGCTGCCACTGCCCGCCCTTCTCGCAAGCGCTGATCCCAGCGTTGTAGCTGACGCTGCATGATAGTAGAGACTAGGGCGAACCCGTGGGCTTCGTCCACGACCAGCAGGTCCCATGGCGCGCCTCCACGCTGGGCCCCCGCCCAGGAACGAGTCACCCTGAAGCCTTCGGTGACTTTATTTGGCCGCATTTCCGAAATTGGAAGGCGGGCGCTTCCTCCTCTTCGTCCGCCTTCCGTTCCACGTCCGCCTGGACAGCCTTCGGAGCGTCACAGACGGCTATGGTGGGTCTGCGGTGTGCCTCTCGCCGCTTCTCTGCTCCCCCTGGTTTGAACAATTTTGAAAGCACCTGGGGCCTAGAAAAAAGTCACCTGGAGGGCTCTGGTGATTTTTTCCGGTTGCCTTTTCGAAACCTAATGGAGGGCGCTGCCCCTTAGAAACTGTTTAGGGGGCCTCTCGGGGTTTCTTTTCTGCCTCCTGGGGGCCTCTTGGGGCCCTCGTGGGCCATTTTGCGGCCTCCGGGGGGCCTCTTGGGTCCCTCTTGGGCCCTATTGGGTGCCTCTTGGGGCCGTCTCGGGCGTCTGTGGGGCCGTCTTGGGGCCGTCTGGAAGCCCTCTTGGGCCATCTTTGGCCGCTCTTGGGGCTGTCTTGGGTGCTTCTTGGGCTGTCATGGCGCCACAGGAGCCGTCCAGGGGGTGTCTGGGGCCGCCGTGGAAGCCTGCCGGGGCCCTCCTGAAGCGTCTTGGGGCGATCTTGCGTCTGGGACGCTATATAAACGAAACACTCGGGATACACACACATATACATATACATATTATATATATATATATATATATATATATATATATACATAGGTTTGTATGTATGCATGTATATATATATATGTATGTATGTATGTATGTATGTATGTATGTATGTATGTATGTGTATATATGTATATGTATATGTATATATGTATGTGTATATATATATATATATATATATCGATATATATATATATATATATATATATGTATATTTGTATGTGTATACATATATATATACTTCGGAGGTGAAGGGGGTGAGATCGAAGTGGAACGGGAGAGCCCCCCTACCGGGAAATCGATTTCGGTTTCGTGTTCGTGCGTGCCGTGCGTGCGGGCGAGGCGAAGCTGCGTGGGCGGGCGAGAGAAAATCTCCTGTGGCTGAGGCGCGGCCGGACCAAATGTCTCCCTTCCGGGCGGCCGGGGCCCCGCGGTGTCCCGCCGGTGTCCCGCTGGTGTCCCGTGTGGCTGAGGCGCGGCCGGACCAAATGTCTCCCTTCCGGGCGGCCGGGGCCCCGCGGTGTCCCGCCGGTGTCCCGTCGGTGCCCCGTCGGTGTCCCGATGATGATGATGATGATGATGATGATGAGGATGAGGATGATGATGATGTTGATGGTGATGATGGTGATGGTGATGTTGATGTTTTACTTCGATGATCGATAGTGAGATCGATAGTGAGGTCGAATGTGAGATCGATAGTGAGGTCGATAGTGATATCGATTGTGAGATCGAACGTGGGACCGAATGTCAGACCGATTGTGAGATCGATTGTGAGATCGATAGTGGTATCGATAGTGAGATCGACTGTGAGACCGAATGGGAGATCAAATGTGAGATCGATTGTGATATCGATAGTGAGATCGATAGCGAGACCGAGATCGCTTGTGGGATCTATTGTGAGATCGATCGTCAGATCGATTGTGAGATCGATCGATTGAGATTGATAATGAGATCGATAGTGAGTTCGATAGTGAAATCGATGGTGAGACCTTGTGAGATCGGTTGTGATATCGATAGTGAGTTCGACAGTGAGACCGAATGTAAGACCGATAATGAGATCGACAGTGAGTTCGATCGTGAGATCGATGATGAGACCGAATGCGAGATCGATTGCGAGATCGATTGTGGCATCCATAGTGAGATCGATAGTGAGACCGAATGTGAGATCGATAATGATATCGATTGTGAGTTTCATAGCGGGATCGATAGTCGGACCGAATGTGAGATCGACTGTGAGATCGATTGTGATATCGATTGTGAGATCAATAGCGAGACCGATTGTGAGATCGATGGTGATAGGGGGAAAACAAACCTACCTCGCTTTTGACCACCCTCGCTTCCAAGAGATACCAAACGATGCCAAATTGCAGCATGTACTGGTCAGGCCGCTTGACGAGGAGGCGCGTGGTATGGCTTGGTTTTGCCTGGAAGCGAAAGCGGGGTAGGTAATTAACGCTCTGAGGTGAGATCGATTGTGAAGTCGATTGTGCGATCGATAATCAGATCGATCGTGAGATCGTCGATTGAGATCGATTGTGAGATCGGTAGTGGGTTCGATAGTGAGATCGATCGAGTGCCACGTTGGCCCCTCCCCCCCACCTCACCTCCTTATCACCCGAAGGGTGGTCGCATATATATATATATATATATATATATATATATATATATATATAGCTACTTCCACTCCCCAGATGCCAGGACGATGCATTTACTATGGGGACGAGCGCGGGAGGGCGAGGCCACGGCAAACCGGAGGCTATACATGAGACAGCTGATCCCGGCGATAGCCGCACACCCTCGAAGACGCTGATGAGAGCCACCTGAAATCCGTGCAAACGAGAGAGAGCAAGGGAGGAGCGGGAGGGGAGGCTAGAGCGAGATGGCAACGGATGACCATCAAGTGCGGCAACTTCGCCGTGGTACGCAGCATGCACTTGTTAAAAGGATCAGCTACTTCCACTCCCCAGATGCCAGGACGATGTATTTACTATGGGGACGAGCACGGGAGGGCGAGGCCACGGCAAACCGGAGGCTATACATGAGACAGCTGATCCCGGCGATAGCCGCACACCCTCGAAGACACCGATGAGAGCCACCCGAATCCCGCAGGGCAGTCCTGGCCACACCAGTGGCCGAAAACGAACTACGCACGTGAAATAACCTAAACTACCGAAAAGAGACTACGTGATTTTGAAGGCAGCATCCATCATCCATTTCTCTCTGAGAGCGTTGGCAGAGTGCGTCATGGCAAGGGCGGCCGAGCGGGCGAACTGAGGCGAGTATTCCGCGGCCAGCTCGGTGCGGCGGGCAGGCGCACCTTTGTCTCGGCCTTGGAGGATGAGGTGGGGCAGGCCAGTCGACGAGCAAATGCCTCCCTTGCCAGAGCACGATTTACATAAGCTGGGGAAGACGCCTGCATTCCAGCAGGCCACTGTAGTCGGCTTCTTAAAGGGTGTGCCAAATCGGCACATGTCCATCTTGTGAATGGCGCACGATGAGTCTGAAAGAAGCTTGACCATCTCGGGGGCGTGCCAGAGCAGCGACCCGCGAGTGTTCTCCAAAAAGACAGGGCAGCCAATCTGGATGCAGAGCCGGATGAGCCGGCAAGAAAAGTGGAACGAGCGATTGCCTACGCGGAGGCGGTCCAGCCGAGGTCCTGACAGACCTGGTTTCCCCATGGGGAAACGACTGGAGCGCAGAGGGTCTCTGAGAGCCTGCGACCAGGACGTGCAGGGAGTGCCCAGCCACAGACCTACAATGGCTTTGCTCAGAAGCCACCCGCGCACAACCGACTCGAACGTGGTGTGGAGGTGATCTTCACAGGCCCCGTGGACGAGGTCCAGGTCCAGGCAGCCGTAGCCAAGGTCGCGGACGCGCTGGGAGATGCGACCCTGCCCTGCGAACAGCTCCAGAAACAGGCAGCTCCTCCACTTGCTGGCGCCAGCGCGGCCTCGGCGGCATCGCCGCTGCAGGTGAAGCCGCACGGCCTGAGGCGACGCCGTCAGCGCCGGCGGCGCCGCGTGGCGGCGGGGGCCCCGGGCCCTCCCCGCAGGCGGGGGCCAACGCTGGCAGGCAGCTCGGCCCACGCCAGCGGCAGCAAGGGGCCGCCCCGCAGCACATCCAGGAAGTTGCGCTCCACGATCTCGCCGAACAGCAGCACGTCGGGGCCCACCTTGGCGGCCTCCCGGAGGAGGCGAGTCTCCTTGCCGTAGCGGCGGAGCGAGGCCACTGTGGCCCAGCGACCCCGCCGCATGACCTGCTCCGGCGTCCTGGCGCCAGACAGCAGGTCCTCGCTGGCGCCCCCGTGACGGAGGGAGTACAGATGCGGCTGCAAGTGCATCAGGCCCAGGGCGTGGCACGCATCCTCGAAGAGCCGAGCAATCGACGTAGGCAGGAAGTCCCACAGGGGGCCGTCGCCCGCGACAGTCCTCAGCGCCTCCAGGGCTGGCTCGAGCCACGGCGCCTGGTCCAGCAGCACGCTCTCGTCCCAGAGGTTGGTCTTCCCGGGCAGCTGCAAGTCGGAGTCGTGCAGCAGCAGCCCCCACGAGTGGGGGCCTGTCCCAGGTGGGCCACCGGCGGCACGAGGTGGCGCCCGGCCAGGCGGAAGGCCTCCTGCGGGCGGAGATACGCCGCGAACGACAGCATCACGAAGAGCCCCATGCGCGGGTGGCCCCAGGCAGCCAGCGTCCCGGCGATGGCGAAGGCGGCCCGGCGAGGCAGCGGCAGGCGCATCCTGGTCGGGACGCGCCAGCGCCAGCCCGCCAGACAACGCGTCGCCCTTGGCAAGGCCTGCGCCGTCCTCTTGTACAGCGCCGGCGTGTAGTGCGCCAGCGACGCCAGCAGCACGGAGCCCTCGTTCGGGGCGCGGCCCTCGAAGTACATCGAATTCAGGTACGTGACCAGGGCGACGTCCATCTCGGCCTCGCTCGTCCAGTCGATGGCCATGACCAGGCAGAACTGCAGGAAGGCCCGGAGGTACACCTGGTACAGGCGCTCCGTGCCCGGCCTGACCGCCGTGCGCTCCAGCACCGAGAGGCCGCCCGAGGGCCCCCGCTCGGACGCCACCTGGCGAGCCGCCGCAGCTCTGCGGTGGCGATCCGCCTGGCGGCGAGAGGCCGAGGCACCCGCCATCGAGCCCGGCTCCTGCAGGTGTCGGCCCGTCAGCCACGGAGGGCCCCGCACGAGAGCAGCCAGGCTGGGCGGCAGCAGCGCGTCGGTAAGGCCCTGTGAACCAGCCTAAACGCCCA